TGGTGTTTTAAATGGCCAGTTGTAATCAGTTGTGGTGTCATTCAGCAAATCAGTAGAAGTTTTCTTTAATGGAGTTTAAATGTCCCAACAGACATAAATATTCTTACTGTCACTGAATAGATGGATTTGTCTGCCTGCTTTAAATCTTACCTTTTGTATTTACCCATGGTACAGTTGCAAAAAAAAAAAAAAAATTCCTTCATGATACTTCACAGTTTTGTCTGGTTTGGAAAAAATAGAAACCTTTACTTTTTGTTGATACATCTGGTGCTCAGTGCTTAAAAACAGCTCAATTGATTATTTCTGATTCAAAACCTTCTCAGAAGGAAATTGCATAACAAGGCTGGGAGCTCAAATATGTGAGTTTTGGCAAAGAGCTGCGGAAGAAAGGCACGGCTGTAGCAACCTCACAAGAAAGGAACTTGACATTTTGAAAAATTTTTATTGACCGGTGTGGACAGGGAACAGGAAGTCAAATCACTCTCACAGGCAAGCTGCAGTCTCTTCCTTGCTGACCTTTAAATGCCACTTAGTGTCATCAGAAAATCAAGGAAATACTAATAACAGGGTTTGCGGTAAGAGAGTTATATATGAGGAAAGCTTTTGAAAGCAAACGTAAGGTGACTTCCATTTTTATACACACCTGTTTTTGTAAAATGGAATTCTCAGAGCAGTATATTTTCAATAGATGAATCTTACATTATTTTATTAACATTAACATTTTGAGAAGTATCCATAACACATCAGCGCTTCTGTTCACTCTTGAAAAGGGAGTAGTTTGCAAAAGTCATTTTATAATTGCATTCCAGGTTGATGACCTTGGAATACAGACCGGCCTCTGCTTTAGGCTCTTAATCTAGCTTGTGTTGAGTTTAGCAGGCTGTGGACTTGTGACAGTCTTGTAGGAAGTTGACTTCTCAGTGTCTTTTGAAAATGGGACTGATATGCCTACCTCACCAGGTTACTCTGAGCCTTTATGCTTCTTTGTTTTTAACTGCCCCTTCCAAAAAGTCACAGAAAGATAATTTCAACTAGAACAACTAGTAGGAAAAAATTGTAAAAGTAACCTGCTTAACCCCGAAGAAAGCATCTTGTATATTAGCAAAAAAGAAAGGTCCTTAGACATCAGCAGTTCAATGAGAGAGAAGAAAGCTAGCTGACAGGTATAACGTGAAACGATGGATCCATGAAACCTGGTGGCACCATGTGTAGGTACTACAGCTGTTCCTTGCCTCCTTCCAACACCTACTTCATGGAGTTGAAATGGACTTTAGTCCGTGGTTGTGGTTCAGTACATGTTGAAGACCCTTGCTTGACTGGAGTCTAACTTGATTGCTGACCTATGCTGGTGTATCTCTGTTCGTGCTGCATTTGGCTTGGCTTAATTCAGGGCGGCGGGGGAAAAGGAAACTTTTTTTTTTCTTTATAGTTTGTATTACATAATTGTTGTTTGAACTGCTAGCAAAGTGCTGTTACATTAGTGGTCTGGCAACTATTGTGAATTTACAATTTGGGAGACATTTTTAAAAGCTCTTTATATAATTCATTGCCATGATTTTCCTTTTTCTGATAGGATTTTTCTTTTTCTTCCTTTCTTTCCTTTTTCTTTTTTTTTTTTTAATTTTTTTGCAATGCAGTTGCAAAACACATGGATTGTAGGAACTGATTTTGATTCTGAGCAGAACATTAATGCTAACCTGTTTGTCTAATGAAACAGGATAAGGGCTGACTTTTTTAGCCAGCTACATTGGCTGCAATACTTGAGCTTGGCTTTCCTCTCACTTACACTACTGTAATTTGAGTAATTCCACTTAAATCAATCCATTGATAACAAAACAACAAGAAACGAGAGATGGTTTGAGAAGTGGCATGTACATATCAGGTCCCACAAGTTTGCTAAATTAATGTTGTATGCTCTTAATAGTTGCCTTGCTAACCTTCGTGATAACCAAACCTCCAAAATCCAGTGATTTGGAAAGAGTCTGCACTGCATCTAGCACAAAATAAAATACAAATCTGGGTAAGGCATTGTCTCTCTAGATTAGATTTACAACAAAAGACGAGTCATGCCAAAACCACTTGTGTCAGTGGTTTGTGTCCAACATTTTCTTTTCCTCTTAAAGCTACTGAAAAGGTTTGCACACATGGGAGAGCTTGGAGGTCTGCCTCCCGTTAGGCATATCTCTCATCTCTGAATGATGGGGCTTTCAAAACTGCTTTGAAGTTGTCGTCATTCCGTTCGCCTGGAAGCTGTAGTGAGTTTTTATTTTAGGGGAAGAGTCTTAACTTAAGCATTCTTGAAATGCTCATTCGTTAAATAATGGGCTTGATATACAGGTTGGACTTGGAAGAGAAAACATAGATGAATTTCCAAGGTTTTTATTTTTGCTTTCATTAAAGTCTTTTTATTATAAACTATTTATAGTGTCATGTAAGTATTACATTTTTCCCTGTATCTTCTGTTAGGAAATCCAAGCTTTAAAATAAAAAAAAGCTTTGAAATGTTTAGTTGTTCATCACTGCATTCCTTCACAGTGATCTGTTCCCCAGAAAAGGATTCTGATAGCTCTTCAGCCACGAGACCTTGAGGTAGATTTAATAAGATCTTAATTTAAAACTGGATACATCCTATCTTACCAGTACCCTGTATGTGAAATGCTGGGAAGGAAGTCTTAGGGGGTTTTTATTACTTGTATACATCTTTAAATCTCTTAACAAAATTTCACAACCTTTTTATCCAGCAAGGAAAATCAAAGAATTAAAACAGTCACAAAAGCATACATGTAGAATACACTTTAAGATTATTTTGTTCAATCATTTTATAAGTGAAAAGAAGACACTACTTTATATTTCACCTGGTGAACACTGTAATTTCTTCAGGAGTAAACAAACTTTATTTGATAGAACTATGTACAATATGCACTGAAAATTACTTCAAACTCGTTGGTTACAGATAAAGTCATTATTTTTTCTACTGCTCAAGATATAGGGCCAAGATAAGAGTATATTTTTCTATAAGGTTAGACCTAATCTTTTAAACCCCACCTTCCACTTAAAGATTTTTTCTTCTTTTGCTAGAAACGCGAAGAAGCTATTGATGCTATTCAGTTCAGAGAAATTGGTGATGAAAAAAAGACATGGCAAATACTGCTTTAATCCTTCAGTAAGACTCTAGTCAATCAGAGAAGACAGGCAACATGCCTTGTTTGTGCTAAATATACTATTCCAAGGTGAAATCTGCTGTGCAGTGTGCAACATAAAAAAAAAAAAATGTTTTAGGTCAGTGATAGTTATCACATGCATAGAAAATGCAGGACAAGACACAAGTCAGTTTGCTATCTGCATTTAGCGTTTTCAGTTACTTTCACAGGAATCTATAGAATATTGAACTTTACCAGGCAGTCGGGAAGCTGTATTGCATACATCTTTTTGTATTGCTGTATTTTTTAGCTATTTATGCTTCATCACTGCTTCCTCAACAGTGCTAAAATTCAGTGAATGGTCTTTTTGAGCTTGCTGCCCCATGTTTTTAATTTTTACCTAAGATTGCACTTGTGGAAAGCAATTATCATGCCATGTCACGAGTAAAATTCACTTCAAGTTAGACTCCTACAGAAACCCAGATACCCACCACAACGATGAGGCAGCCATACAATTGAAACAAAGCATTTTCCAGCACTTTCCAGATTGGAGAACTTAATTTCAAAGAATTACCTCTTTTATTTGGAAAGTAATGGGATTTGTGGTGACCTTTAGTTTCCTGGCGGTATGTATTCTGTGGTTTTGGACAAAATTCTGCTCGAGAGCTTTATATCCTCAACGGGTGAGTTCTGCAAGTGCAGCAGCATGTTCTGTTGTGAAAAGAACAGCATCGTGCACCATGGTCATCACCCTGTGCTTCCAGAATAGGTATCCTGCTCCAGCTCATGGTGGATTGGTGTCAGTGGTGATTTCAAAGAAGCAATTTGTGAGAGTGACCATCTCATAACTTGATAAAAAAGTAAAATCTTCAATTTAATATTGAAGCCTCTCTTAATTAAAAATAGCAAAAGGTGACTCACAGGTTTTGAGGGAAATGTTTTTGCAAGATCTTTATTAGCAGATTCAAAAAATTATGTTGAATTTAAGTGTCAAAGCTAAATTAAAAATGCACTTTTTCAAGCAGTCTTGTTTCCTAGTCTTTCCTGTTTGTAAGTCTACTACTCTATGACTGCATATATTTCTGTTCGCATATGAATATAAGTGGTCTGAATTCACTTGATCTGAAATCAGTGCAAATTTTCCCATTTATTTGATTAAGTTTTCAATGACAACTAAAGTAATTTTTAACATTAAGGAATTATTGAAATAGTTTCTGCCTCTCCTTTCATCTGGGCCTGTTAAAATCCGAAGTGGTGCCTGTCAGAAGGACTTCTTTTGACCAGGTTAAATGGTTGTTTTCAGTAGACTGTAAATGATTATGGTTGACTGAGCATGTAAATGGGAAATAGTTTAATGGTAGCAGAGTTTCTCTTACGTAAATCTGCAGAGAAGGCTCAGGTAAATTGGGCAGGTTGATAATAAAATAGACAAGCCTGGGACACAGACAACATAATTAATACAGTGTTCTCATTTAAGAGTAAGTCTTGCTTTCAGAAACGTGTATTACTTTTGATTTAAATACAACTGCAAATGCATTTGGATAACCATAATTATGTGTCTTGATGAAGCTTATATTTTAAATAGCAAGCAGCAGTAGTTTTCCCATCAATACTACTGTTAAACTAATGTAGGTGCTCATTGTGCCTCCTGACTTATTAATATTGCCTGTAAGCTTTGTTCCAGTTGACCTTTAGAAGTTTCCAAAAGTTACAGTTTGCAATTCAGCAAGTTTGGCAGAGGTACATACATGATTATTCATATCATTGTTTAAACAGTAACCAGATGTGTCTTGTTTTTCTTCTTTCTTTTCCATTGTTTTTATAAAGTGATGTTAATCCAAGATGTTAATTCATTTACAGGGTTTTTCCACAGCACCAAATTCCCCTTCGGTGAATTCTCGTACCAGTAGCCTGGGTCCATCCCTGTCCCTCGGTAACATCTCAGGAATGACAGCAAACCCAGAAGTGAAAAAGCGCAGAGCACCTCCTCCACCAGTTGTGACACCTGCGTTGCAGAATGTGGAGATGGGTGGACGAGAAAAGACGGCAGCACAGGTAACAGTGACACAACAGGGTGGGCATCTTTGCTTGATGTGCTGGCTACCATCAGTTCATTCATCAGAGCTAACGTCATTCACAGATATTTTGGCGAGCCATTAACTACAGCTCACCAAAACTCTTGATCTTAAAATAATCAAAAGTCTTGGAGTTTTGTACAAATTTACTGAGTTTTCTTGAGACTGCCCCAAGCTTTCTCCCGTGTCAAAAATCTTTCTAAGTCAGAAAAGTTTTGTGAGGCATTATGCTAACAGGAGAAGTAAGAAAAAGGCAGAAAAGCTGGAAATCGACTGGGTGTCCTTATTGGCCAGGGCAATCCTGGAAAATGCTTGACAGTTCTAATGACTGACAAAAATTTTCAGCGTGCCGTTTTGCCCAGATACTTATCAGGCTGTCACCCACATCCCTATTTCCCTTGCTGCTGTGGGATACCGGAAGATCAGCTCTGCTTTCGGAGTTGCGCCATGTGACCTTTCAAAGCAGTGCTCTGGTTTTGCTTTTAAAAAAGGTCACTGCTCTGCAATACCATTTTTGAGAATTAAACAGAAATGGGGGGGAACCTTTCTGAGGACTTAACCCTTTGAAAACAATAGAATTAAGGGAAAAGGAAATTGTTCTTGTTTTTATAGTGACATTCAGGTATGTATGTTACTGAACATGCGCGAGCACGTTAAGAGTTCTGATTCCACCATCAACAAAAAGTATTGCATTCTAAATGTAAACAGTAAATGTCAGTGTGTAAAGCTATATATGGGTGACAAGTAAGAAGGCAGGGAACCGATACCTTCAAGGTTGCGTAATCTGGACTGACTTTATCTGCTTAGGGCTTGTCATCTCTACAGCAGAGTGATCTTTGGAAAGAGAACTATATTAGTGCAAAATGGAGTCAGGAAAGAATCTGAGTTCGTTGTAGTGGAGGAGGAGTTGTCTAGTCCTCAATCTCACTCCCTATCACTCTTGTTTATCTGCGTTAAGATATACATGAAATACTTTCTCCAGTGAAGCACTGTGTAAGCAAAGTTGATGCACGCTCTCGATAAAGAATTGTGGAATCTTATTTTCCCTTTATTCTAAAAGTATCTAAAAGTATGATCGCTGGAACACAGAGGTGTTTCATCTTTCAAAACTGGAATAGGTGCCTTTGAAATAGCACTCATTTATAGACGCAGTTGAGGAGAAATGTTTTCTTGCAACGTTTGGTGCATTCTTTTAAAAAATTTCCTTTTGAAATTCCTACTCTAAATATTTTGATGAGGTTTCTTGTGTCACCAGGAGTTAATCATTTAATGTGTTTAAGATAAATAGATCTTTTTGTGCAAAAATACTATGGCATTATAACTCTTAAATTTATACAAGTATAGTAATCACAGGCTGTATTATTCTGCCATTCTCTTAGGCTTATCTCCCTGCAGTGTGGCATTGAGATTTTAAATTGTGTTGCACAAAACCATTGACAAGCTAAACTCTCCTTAAACATGTTAACGTTTCTGTTTTCAGCGTTGTTGCAAATAGATTAAAATGCTGGCTTTCTGAAGCCATTGGGAGAAAAGTATTTCTTCTATTTATCTCAAGTAGTATACAGTGCAGTGTCAACTTCAAAATCTCTTTGTCTAAAGGAAAAGCTATTTTGAAGAAGGGAAAAAGTTGAAGGTCACGTCAGAGGATTTTCCATGACGAAGTTCATTTTGGTCAGTAGACATGTCCGTGTAGCTGTCAAAGCCAATGAAGAGCACAGTAGATTGTGAGCCCAGTTAGTAGAGTCTGTTTGACTGCATTTAACAAATGAATAAAGGACGTCTTTCTGAAAATGGTTGTATAAGTCAAAGTATTAAACAGTTATGGTGTGCTTCTGAAGCTCCCAGGCTGAAAGTTGCTCACATTCTGCCCTGTAGTTCGAACAAGAATGGTCTGGATTAGAGTTGAAATGAATCACAAGTTCCATGAAGCAATCAAAACTGAGGGAAGAGAGTAATTATTCAGTATTATGTGGCAAGGTAGCAACAGAGATATAGTTTATAAGAAAACCCAAACAGTTCGATTTTATCTACGTGCAGACTATCCAGTTTTCTGTGAAAATAGCATAAAAAATCTTGGGGTGTAAGTTTATTTCTTTAGTTTATGGGAAAGAATTAGCACTGATCTTTTTTTTCAGGGAAGGACGTCAATTCCTTATTAATGGACTTCCTTCCATAAAAAGATAAGATGTTTGTTTAGAAAACTTTATTTATGTGCAACTGTTACTAACAGGAAGATCCTGCAAAAGGGGAACATGTTTATTTCCAGTGAAGCTAGCACATTAATAGAAAATGAAAAAGGTGGTATTTTCAACTTTCAGAAGGTTTTTTCTTTTTTTAACTATTGGGTTCCATAAAGTTGTGTAGGAAAATGAATACTGTAGCTGTTATGAATACCTGTAGCTTGACTTTCCAACCCAGTAAACCTCTTATTTTTAACCCATTGTTAAGCTCCAGGGCATTCAATTTTCTATACAGCACAGATTATTCTTTAGAAATGTATATCTCATCTCCCTGCCTAGTGGTTGTAATCAACAATTTCCATGTGTATGAAGACTGGGGTGTTTTAATTTATGATTTAGATTTAGATTTTCTTCACTTGCTTTTCCTGATAGGTGGATTACTACAATATAATCTTACTGTATTGCAGCTTTTGTTTCTGTGGGGCTTACACTATTTTTATCTCTTTGAGGGTAAGGCCCCTGCAGTAACTTTAATTACTTTTTAGTGCAGCATCATTAGTTTTCCATGTCTATTTAAAGGTAGTGTTCCCTGTAACTGTTTTAAATCTCCTCTAGAAAATATTCATTTGTGTTCAGAGCACAATTGAGCAATGCTTCAGAGCATGCTGAACGTGCACCAAGTAGTTTGAGGAGGAATGCAGAGTCAAAGAAAGAAGTCTACAGATTTCTTCCCTGGGCATTTTCCCCCTGTTTTTTTAAACATCTTCGAAGTGATGCTATTTAGAGTAATGCGAAGTCACTTGGCAGAAATATTCTGCAAAAGAAACAGGGCATGGTAACATTTCCAGTATGAAATCCAGAAGGTTGGAGGAGGTCCCCTCCTTTCTCAAGTTGCAACACAGAGCCCACACCATCCAGAGAGCAGGACAGTGGAGGGGGTGAGCAAAACCTGAAGCCCCTTTCCAAAGAATCTCTGATCTCTGTCACGGCACTTTAGGTGATGTGCTAGCAGAATTTGGGGCCACCTTATGTTAGGCATAATGTAAACAGAGTTCCTACTCAAAAAAATATGCACCATGTAGACAAAATACATAAGAGAAAACCTGTATGAGTATGCCATTGTAGATTGAGCACACAGGGAAAAGCCACGTCAAGTCTGACAGAATTAAACACATCTCCTCACATATTCAGTGACCTCACTTTAAACGAAAAAGAAGTGTGTTTCGGTTATTTCTTGGAAGAATTGTCGAATTGAGTATTTTAGTCTTTTGGAGGTCAAGAGTATTGTGCACTGACAAATTAGTTTATGGGAATGATTACTTTTTTTTTAAGCATGTATGGGGAAATACAGAAATTGGAGTGAGGGGGGATGATAAAGAAGGCCTCAGGAACTTTTTGTAAGAGCCTTTTCTATGAAGTGGAGTGGCTTATTCAGAATAAAATTATGAGGCTTTTGGGAGACAACATCAGAATTAGAAGAGGGCTCTTCAGTGTCTTCATCTGTATAATAGCTCTGATGGCAACTCCAGAAGCCAGAAATGCAACTTGTAGACTGTGATAAAGGAGCTGTGTGCTGTTTCAGCTGCTGCGATTTTCAGAACAGAAACACTGTCATATGTAGATGTAATGAGGTGTCTGAGATTTGTTACTAGCCTCTCAAATTCCTGTACTAATAGAAGAATGGGGTGATAGAACAGATACGATATTCTAACATTCGTTTCATAGATTTTAGTCTAAGTTGTCATATATCAAGACAGTGGGTTTAAATAAAAATTGTGTCATTGCTTTTAGAGCATGTGAGGAACTGGCTTCACACTTTGAGGAGGTTCAGTTATAAACTAACACGATTTTCAGGTTTATTTCCATGTTTATATGGTTTCCTAGAGGCTGCTGTAGACAAAGTAACATATGGGACGTACTGTGGGTTTTGCTCTGCTTTTTATGTTGCACCTCCTCTCCGTTTAGATCTCAGACATGGGTTGATGAGCACAGCTGTTGACTCCCCATTCTTGGTCAAGTCCATACCTTTAGTGCAGACTACTTGCCCCCAGTGTTTTCTCACCATGAATAACCTATTCCTTGAAGAGGCTTACTCACATGAATAAAAAGGAGTATTGCAGCCAAAGACAGTCACAGACTTACTCAGATCATTGCTGTCAAGGTTTCTTTCTCCCTACCTCCAGTTTATTTTTGACCAATTTTATGCCTAAATGAGAAGTTCAGCTTTAAGAGAATCATTTTAACATGAACAAATATAAATGAGATTTTCATATCTTTCCTGGAGAAAATAAAGTACTCGCACTAAAAATTTGCCAAATTTCTTGTTTATACAGAGAAGTTACATTTTAGTATTTGCTCTATGTCTCATTAAATGGAAGGAAATTAAAAGTGTGGAAACGCAGAGCAAATATTATTTTTGCCATCTCAGTTGATGATTTCTAATTCTGACCACCACATAGGGATTTTGTTTTGGTTTGGGTTTTTTCCCTTTTCAAGTGTTTCTGTAATCCTGTTGGAGATAGCATGTATCTGTTTCTGTTTTCCAGTCTGCATTGTACTTGAAGGGATCACAATTCTACTGACAGTCGTTGATAGGAGTGCCACAGAACTGGCAGGACACTGGATTAGGCATCCTAGCCATTTAGTAGCATTTTCATGCCTTTGGTAGGGATGCCTTTCTCACAGCAGAATTTGTGTTACAGTACTGTTCATTGTCCTTTTATACATAAACCAGTATAAATAGAATACACCAGTGATTGAAAGTGTAGGTCCTCTCTGGTTGATTGAGCATGTTAAGAGT